AAGTGGAAATAAAGCAGACAACAGAACATTGGTAGAGAGCAGGAAAGGAGGTGAAAGGAGACAATTTTAGAGAAGACAATTTTTTGGTCGCTACCCGGATTCGAACCCGGGACTTTTGAATGAGAGGCCAACACCTTAACCTCTAGGCCACGAGAGCCCCCACCGAAGATTAGAGGTGTTACAAGAGAGTAAAAAACACAAAAAAGGAGGAGAGATATGGATAGATGTTCGATAGGAAAGAAAGAGCAGACCACACCAGAGCACCCGCCAACCACCCTCGAGCTGAGGCTTTTCAGCATAACGTTGTCCATAATATGCAACAGGTTACGTGAAGAGCTGTTTAGTTCAGTTTAGTAAAAATTCCATGACACTTGCAACGCAAATACATGTCGTCTATGCATTCTAAAGTAATAAGCAGCTTGAGACGACTTTGAGTCTGTCAAAACTAAAAACAAAAAAGAAGAAAAATGACAACGTAAAAAGTGGCGGTAAAAATAATCCAGGCACAATTCGAACAACAACACGATAAATTTAACTCGTCACAGAATTCAAGAGCACGCAACTTCAGTTAATTAAAAGCAAATACCTCTTGTAATGTCACTGAAACGGAAAAAAAAGAAGTATGAACTTGTTCTGACAATAGGAACACATACCTCCAGACATTTTGCAGCTGGAAAATATCGCAAACAATTATCCTGACATGTAGCGCTTAGGATGACAGGTAAACAAAGCTTAGCAACGACGACAAGGCATAATGGCTAGGCGTAATCACAGATGATTTCCACAGCGTCCCCCAGTTTCGAGTGCCTTGAATTCCTGTGGGAAATACAACACTACTTGGAAGTACTTTAAGGAAAGAAGAAAACCTCTTTTCTTGAATGAACATGACGACAGAGGGAAAACAGTCCCTGATAACAGCCCTGCGCCCGATTGTCAATGGTTCAGGCTGCAAGCAACTAATTGTTCTTTGTACATGTTTCCTTTTAGCATACTATTATTGTGATGTAACATAACAGTATCATAACTGTTACTTCGCAGAAATAGATAAGCTGTATTGTAAGCATGGCCTTATAGATAAGACTCTGAATATATTTAGGAAAGATATTTGGGTAAATCGAAAAAGGTATGTGTTGTCCACACGTGTCATCAAATGTAACTTGGTATAGAATCATCCAAATAAAACCCACTTCGATTATTCAAAACCACCCGATTGTAGAATGCTTACACATCAGAAACAAAAACATAACAACAATAGCATCTACCTGATAGTGGCCGCCAACAAAGAGCCCATCAACTAGTCCAACAAATATGACGCCTCTAAAGTTGGTGGCACAATAATATTGTCCTCACATTTGGCTCACGGTATAACTTCAAGAAAAGAAAGGCACATCGACTTTGTTTTAATAAGGTTTTCGGCGCTCGCAACTGCATAAGGTCACGTGAGCGCCAGGCAGGCAATCATGAAATATTTTTCTGCCGGATAGAAAAAGATCTATTTTTTATATCATCGTGGCGCCATCAAATGATGAAAAAAATATTCTGGAGCTGATTGAAGTGTACCAGAGTTTGCCTGAACTATGGAAAGTTAAAAGTAAAGAATATAGCGATCGAAATATATAAAAAATAATAATAGAAGAAGCTGCCTATGACGCTCTGCTACTGAAATACAGTATGCAGATGCCACAAAAGAAGAAATGAAAAAGAAAATTAACTCAATGGGAACGAGTTTTCAAAGTGAGTTGAAGAAATTGAATGATTTCCAAAGTCTGGGGCCGGTGCAGATGATATCTACGAGCCTTCGTAGTGGTTTTTTATGCTCCTTTATTCCTGCGTGTTCAATAAACACGGAATGGTCGCAGAGCCCACTTTCTATCCTTTTTTGATTTTCTTCGCAAGAGCCAACGCTGTTGGTCCGTCCATTACAAACTCTTGGCACAAACTAAATTTTGAAAAAATTGAGCGAGTAGGGAAAACGTCAAACTGTCAACAAAATTTGATCCAAAATGTTCAACAAACAATTGGTCGCTTTTAAGCACAAGGGGGCTATCCAGAAAAATGCTGTTTTGAGAAAAATGAAGGTAAAGTTTTTGGACCCTTGTTCAGTTTCTTTAAAGGACAAGGAAAGTTTTCTCTATAACCAAACAAATATACACACCAATGAAATCAAACTTCTTCTATAGGTAGGGAAATGCCCACTTTTGGTGTAGGTCAAGATTTCTGGAAACACCCGTAATCTGGGTTGTCCCGCTTGTCCTTAAAAACAATCAATTTTGAGGGTGTATGGGGCACTTTAGCGCTAGAAAGTGGACTAACGGATTACGGTGAGGTATAATCGTCAACGTTCTGAGCGGTTTTCTGTTTTGTTGTTTTTGCTTGTTTTTGTTTGTTTGTTTGTTTGTTTGTTTGGTGGGGGTTTTTTTGGTGGGGGGGGGGGGGGTAATGTGGTAATGCAAGTGTTAATGAGTGTTTGTGTAAGTGTAGCCTAGAAGTGTGAGAGCCTATGTCACTGTACTTTCCCTTGACGTAACTGAGCAAAGTGATTCACCAAAGTGGCGCTCAAGACAAACTCTCAAAATTAACAACATAGATCTACATCTATATAAAAGCATGACATGTGAAAAACAAATTTTGAGGTGGCAAGAGGGCGCACGAAGGTCAGTGAGTAAAGGAAGAGAGAGAGAGAGAGAGAGAGAGAGAGAGAGAGAGAGAGAC